CAAAAAAAAAAAAAAAAAAATCATTCATGGGGATCACTCAGCCAGAACTGCTAGATCAGCTTCTTGAGCTGCCAGGATCAGGGAGAATCCAAGCCTCTAGGATCTTCCCTAGTTCCTATGGGTTCTTTGGCAGGACATCCACCACCTGGACCATCTCTGAGACACCCTAGGGCGGTGGTGGCAAACCTATGGCATATGTGTTGTTTTTAAGATAAATGTTAATGTATGAGTCGTTTATCCACACTAAAACCTCCATATTTAAGTTTAGTTGCATTGTTGGCACTTTGCACTGAATAAGTGGATTTTGGATTGTAGTCTCGGGCCCTCCCTTATAAAAGGTTCACCATCACCGTTCTTGGGTTTGTTAGTGACTTGAAGCAGAGCTTCCCAAAAGACAGTGTGAAGGGTGTGACCTCAGTCCTGAGTGTTCCTTTCCAGTCCAAGGTGGGGCTCACTGCACTATCTTGAAGAAGGGAGTTGCAGACATTGTTCCTGAGAAGGACAGGAAGTACCCCAGCACACGGTTCAATCCTGGGATCTCTGTGGCCAGTAGTTATATCCCACCAGGAGAGGGGGTTCCACAACCCCCACTCCCTAAGAAGACTCTGTTCCTCCGCATTGTCTCCTGGGCCGAAACCCCTCACTGGTGTGGCTTCATTTCCGCCTAGTAGACAGCCTGTCTGTCACTCCTAGGGCCCCACCCTTGAAGGCATTAGCCAGCTCTGGTTGAGCTGGGTCCCAACTGTACCCTTACACCCCATACACCTTGTGCCTCAGATGGTCTGACTTTGGGCTGCCTCCATCCACTCCCACCCTAGAGAGATCATGGTCTTTGTACTGGACAGCACCTGGCCTTGACCCACTCTCCCACTCCAGCCCTGTAGGGCCTTAGGCAGGCTTCAGCCCTCTCCACTCTGCTGCCACCTGCTCAGAAGAGGGTCCCTGACCTACTGGCCACAACCTCCCCCTGCTCTCCCATACCCCTCTCCTGTAGGCTTTAATCTAACCCTGTCTATTTCCCCTTGAGATCCCTCCTCTCAACTGCACCATACTCCACCTTGACTGCACAGAAGCCCCACACCAGGTGTTACCCACTCAGCCTGCAGTCTGCATGGCCCTGTGAGATCACAACTTTTTACCATTATGAGATTTTTAGTGATATTTGATTCTTGCGCATGGACTGCATAAGCAACAGTGGAAGGCTATGCAGAGGAGGTGCTCTGCAGTGCTACCTCTGCCTCCTGTGCTGCCATACACAGTGGAGTGGAGAACCCCCACCCCCATCAGCTGCTACACACACTTGTGTGAATTGCTCAATAAAACACAGAGCAACTTACCTTCATGTATATGGGCCTGTAAAGACGCATTTATAGCTAGTAAGCAGACATTTAACTTGGGTTTGTTGCGCTATTTCATAAAATAATTTAATAAATTAAAATATATATTTTTTAAGAAGAACCTGGCGTATAATGGCGCACACCTATGATCACAGCATTCTGAGAGGCTTAGATAGGAAGATTGTGAGTTCCACTGCAGGTGACATGATTTACACTCTGTCTCAAAATTTTAAAAAGGGCTGAAGATGTAGCTTAGCGCAATGGCCAAAGGTTCAATCCCCAGAACTGCCCAAAAATCGGGGATGTATTTATATACATTAACTGTATATTTTATGTCTGGCTCAAGATAGTTTGTCTTCACTCAGTGTGGCCATGGAAAGCCAAAAGTTTAGACGCCCATGCTCTATAAAGAGAAGTCTATAAAACTGGGATCTACTTCAAGCCCGAACCCCTATTTTACCTTCATACCCCCAGACATAAGGCTTCCTCTCCAACTGATTCTGGGGTGCAGTCTGTGCCCTCAGCTGTTCTCTCTTAGCTCAAAATGACTGTTCTTATCCCTCTCTCCACTGCTGAATTCATTTATTTTTTAGGTAGGCCTAGGCCCATCTGGAACTTGGGGGCTCGAGGGATCCTACCCTACCCACCAGCCTCGCTGGGATAGGGACTCAGCTGCCTCTCACCGCAGCGCCTCTCCAGTCACTCTTGCTGTGGCCAGCACAGACTTTTTTGCCCTTCCCAGGTCTGTTCCCAGCCCCGGAGCACTCCACCCAGAAGAGTCACTTTAGTGGGTTGTTCCCATTTGAGACCAAGGGAACTGAGGCTGGGCACTTTAATCCCTGCCCAGGACAGTGACTAGCTCCTGCACAGTGCCCCAGGTGAAGGTCAGCTTGGCTTGCCAAGGCCAGCTGGGACCCTGGGGGTGACCCTGAAGGGGAATTTCCTATGGGATCAACCCCTAAGCCAATTTTTAAATTTTCCGACAGGTGACAGCCACTCACGGACTCTGTCACTTACTAGGGTTCACACACGACTCAGAAGCAGAGTGGCAAAAGGTAGGAACCCCAAGTCAGCCTGCATCCAACAACCCAACCTGTCCTTTATTTTTTAAGAAAGCCTCACAAACATCCGTTTTACATGTTGGGCTCCCCAGATACCTTTAGCAGATGTCAGCAGACTGACTGAAAGTTACCTTCTCCCGATTACTCATAATTGATCCTGGGGGAAGCACACTGTTTAGAAACTCTTCAGAAGAACCCAATGACAGCCATCGTGGGAAACAAGACTGGGTGCAGAGAGAGACCAGATTTAAAGTGAATTAGGCTAGGTGTGCTGGCACGTGGCTGTACTTCCAGCACTGGGAAGACTGAGGCAGGCAGATTGCAGCAAGTTGCAGCAAGGCCAGCCTGAGCTACATATTGAATTCAAGACCAGCCTGAACTGCATAGTGAGACCCTCAAAAAAATTTTTTTTGAATTACATAAAGTGAATCAGTGCTACCCACTGGGTTCAGCCAACTTGGTTTGTGTTTGAGAGCAAACTATCCATTACTTGAAAGACCTGGAAAATCTTTTAATTTAAAGAAAGCCCCCTGCTGGCTCCACCCACCCCATTCAGGTGCTGCCCTTGGGCTGTGCAGGTATCACAAGGCCTTGTCCCTCACTGGCTGTAGGAGGGTGATGATGTCTAGAGGGGTGAGGTAGGTGGGTGAGGGTCCCGGTGGCCCCCAGCTGACCTTCTGTTTTTCAGATGTACCTCCGGGAAAAGCAGGTGCTGGAGGAGCTGAGCCGGCGCACTGGGGCCCAGCTCCAACCCCTGAGTAGGGGCCTCTTCTGATGCTGCTGTGGGCATTGCAGGACGCAGGGTTGGACCATGGCCTTGGTTGTGCTCAACCCACTTGGACACTGAAGATCTAAGCCACCTTGCCCCCAACCTCTCCCAAGTTTGTTGCTGTAGACACAACTACCCAGGTCCAAGAGTGACTTGCCTTGCTGCTTCTATGCAGGAAGTGTGGGAGTCTCAAAGTTCCTTCATAGGAAATCTCACTGGGGCCACCTTTCCTGTTCATCCTCTGAAAGTTGAAGTAACCCTCAAGTTCCAGAGCGTGTAGAAGCAAGTGCCATCCAACGTCCTTGGTGGGAGCAGATCCCAAGGGTGCTGGGCCCTTGCATCTCCCCCCGCTGCTAAAAAGGACCCCAGGCATAGTGGACACTGCAGGAGGTTACCAGTAAGAGACAGCCTATAAACCTGGAGACACTAGGCTCCAGTGATGTGTGACTCATTACATGATGCAGAAGCATGGAAATATTTCCCAATGGCATCAGTCAGAAGGTAGGATGGGCCTACCCTGTTCCTCTGGCCTCTTTGGGCTGTGCATGGCCTGCCTGAGGTTAGCTAGGCTTGTTCTGTTTAGTGTCTAGCCCAGTAGAGCTAAGCAAACATCACCCCACTCCTAGAACACAAGTCTCAGCGGAACTTGGTGGGGAGGAGTTGTGGGCTCTATTAAATTCAGTGCTTTTTTTTTTGAGTCAGGGTCTTGCCTTGTAGCCCAGGATAGCCTCAAACTCACAATCCTGCCTCAGCCTCCCCAGTTGTGAGATTGCTGGTAGGTGCACCCAATGCTTCTGAAGGCCTGGATGATCACTTGTCACTCCAGCAGCATACATCTAGCAACCCTGGGGCCCAGCTGGATGGGTCCCAGTCCCTGCCAAGACCGTTTCCCTGGTGAGACTGGCTGTCCTGTTCCCCTGTCACACTACACTTGACATCATCATCATCATCATCATCATCATCCTCTCACTGTGACTGCTCCTATCTGTTGTCTGTTTTTTTACTCATTTTCCTTTTGATTTGGTGTTTTTATTTATTTTTTATTTATTTATTTATTTTTATGCCGGGGATCAAACTCAGGACCTTGCGTTTGCGAGGCAGGCGCTGGAAACACTGAGCTAAATCCCTGGCCCCGGTGTTTTTAAATATTCTTTTTTTTTTTCTATTTTTATATATTCTTGAAAAATACCCTGTGTCTTATTATAGAACATGAGGAAGTGTCCTGGCCTAAGGCTGAGAAATGATGTGCACACCCAGGTTGGCAGCTGAGTCTTTGTCCACCCCCAACCCCCGACCACCCTGTGCCCACCACCGGAGCTCACTGCATGCTCTTCCTCCCCACAGGCCCCTCAAATGCCTGGCCTGAGGCAGGCAAGGGCTCTGGGTATAAGGGCAGCTCCTCGCCTGCCACTCTTGCAGACCAGCCCTGTCCCACCAGTGGTGCGCAGAGCTGGGGCTTCCAGTGCTGAGATGTTCCCTTCACACCTCCTCCCCAGCAAGGCCCAAAGCAAGGAGAGTCAGCAGCTGCCAAAGTTCTTCTGTCAAGTCAATAATCATGACAAGAGATAAAACCAAAAAGGGAAGCTGTGTTAGAACAATCAAAAACACAGGAAATAGGGCCAGGCCTTTAATTCCTGCCTTCAATACAGCAGAATCTAGAATCACATTCAGAGATGTGCTGAAAGATGGTCATGAGCGAACCAGGTGTCCGTCACCATTGTCCGGAGCTGGGGCTTTGTCACTCTCCATCTGTCCACCCATCCACATGGATGTGTACCCTACTCGTGGCTCTGAAGCGCTCCTGAGAGCCAGGTCAGCTAGAGAGGAGGCTCTGACTCATCTGACCTCCAACCTGCAAGGTTTCAGGGACATAAACACTGTTAGTGAAGAACTTCACAAATGAAAAACTTACCTTGAGCCAGGTGTGGCAGTCCATGCCTATAATGTCAGCACTCAGGGAGGCTGAGGCAGGAGAATTGAACATTGGAGCCCAACGTAGGCAACTTTGTAACTTAGCGAAACCCAATCTCAAAGTAAAAACGAAAGAGTTTGGGGACATAGCTCAGTTTAAAGGCCCTGAACTCAATCCACAATACCATGGGAGAGGGAGATAATTTTTTTATAAATATAACAGGCCGGGGATTTAGCTCAGTGTTGCCGCCATCTGCATCGCAAGTGCAAGGTCCCAAGTTCAATCCCCATACCAAAATAAATAAGTAAATAACATTAGAACATCAAGGGGATATGATTCCACCAAAAAATAAATAGGAAAAGTGTCATGGTAGCTCTACACTAGTCCTAGTAACAGGAGGGACAGGCTACAGAGGAGCCACTCGTTGGCCCTGCTGGAGCGGCTGGGCTTGGCTGCTGCCTCCAAAGCAGCTGTGCAGGCAGCATGCAGGTTCCCTCCTGTGTAGACCGTAACTCAGGTGGAGCCTAGTAGAGTATTTTGCTTGGATTTCACATTGACGTGAGACCATTCCCCATATAGCAGACAGGTCCTCGTGCCAGGCCTAATGCTGCTAAGCAGGCAGCTGTACCACTGAGATACATCCCCAGTCCCAGTGTGACTACCTTTCATACTTCACAGAGGAATGTTTTTATGTGGCTGAAGCTTTTGATCTTTTCTGTTACACATCATGGGCTCTATTTTCTTAAATTCTGTCCTGGTGAAACCTTTGTATTTCCCCTGGGTGGGAGTCACCTGGTTTTCCAGAAGGGTCCTGACCAGGGACCAAAGGTGGAAGACCTTGCTGCTTACCGATGTGGAGCAAGCGGGCTCACACGCCCGGGGCCTGCGAGGACAGGACGCCATCAGACAGCAGCCTAGAGGACAGGTGAGGGTGACCCTGGTGTAGTACTAGGCTAGCCTGGCTCACAGGCATCCATGCTACAGTAGGGGTACTCCAGCGCCCCTACATGGGGGACACTGAGCCCTGCAGCTTTTTGGAAGGTGGTGGGGTCTTTCCAGCCCCTTCCATGACTCCTGACCACTCAGGCCTAAGGGGCCCCCACCTTTGCCTTCCAGACTTACGTGCTAAGGGTAGGCGGGGCAGCGGGACTGGCCATGTGGCATATGGTGGGCACGAAGCTGGTGGCAGGTGGCAGGGCAGTAGCTGAAACCACTGGGGGCCACACAGTATAACTAAAGGAGGAGCCTGGCACAGAGCCAGGCTGCAGTGGGGTAGAAGGTGCGTAGTGGTGGTGGTGGTGCACTGCAGGTGGCTTCTGCCTCTCAGCTTGCAGGAGGACTGGGCGCCTCCCCTTCGGGTCCTGGCATAGAATGCATAGCTGGGTTCAGGATGGTGGCCTCTTTCCCTGAACCCATTCCTAATGGTGACAGGGTTGAGCATAAAGGCAGGAAAGAACAGCAGCTATAGGTAGAGCTTGTGCCAGGAGCTTCTTGGGCCCCAAGTGCACAACCTATTCCTTCACAGCTACACCACAGGTTGGAGCCAAAGATGCCCTTTAGGGCTACCCAGATGCAGGGGTCCCAGGATGCCCCCTGGCCCACCTGCAGGGCAGGATGCAGTCCCGTGGGTGCCAGCACAGGTGGTAGGGCTTTGAGCATCATGTTCTGCATGAGGATCTGGTGCATCTGCGCGTTCTGCATCAGCATCATCTCCACCATGTCTGGAAGGAGAAACTGGGACCTGATCTGAGGCTCTGCCTTGGAAGAAAAGTGTTAGTGCCTCATGTTGTTAAGATGGGTGCTGCACCTCATAGGCACCTGGGAACATTCTGGCCCATGTGTCTGTGTTCTTCAGGCCCATGGCATGCTCTAAGAGTGGGACTTCAGCGGGAGGGGAGGTGTGGGTAAGGCTCTGGCTTACCTGGGTGGCCTCATTGCCACTTCCGTCCCTCACGTCCCCTGGGCTGCATGGTGACCCAGAACAGCATATTCCCCTCCTAACTGCAAGATCTCTGAATGTAACCTCATTTGGAAAGGGTCTTTGTAGATTTAATTAGGGATTATGAAATGAAATCATCCTGGAAAGGACCCTAAATCCAGTGAAAGTGCTGTATACTAAGAGCAGGGCAGGGCAGGGAGGAAGCTATGTGAGGATGGGGGATGAGGCCACAGGGAGGCCTGGAGCCACAGGCACAGAAGCAGCAGTCAGGACCCTCCCTATGGCCTCCAGAGGAGTCAACAGTCCTGCTCACACCTGGACTTTGGAAGTCTGGTATCCCAAACTGCAAGGTAATAAAGTTCT